TTCAAAGTTCTTGGGCAGAACGTCAACGTTTGCAGAAAGCCAGGTACGTTGTTGTCAATGTCTGCTGAAGCCCGTGCTGAAACCCCACCACTAACACCCTCACCATAACCCCCCCAACCCCCCAACCCCCCAAACGAAACTTCTCTGTTCAAAGTTTTCTTTGCGGATTCGGGGAGATCTCGGTGAGCGCAGTCCAACCATGTTTTCAAAAAAAAAAAAGTTTTTTTTTTTGACCCACTTTTGGACCCAACCGGAATTCCGGTTGGACCACCGGGGGTCCAACCAAGTTTTTTTCTTTTTTTTCTTTTTTTCTTTTTTTCTTTTTTTTTAATTTGAAGTATCTTAGTATCCATGTTGAAATGGTGGTCCTCGCCAGAGCTTCTTTTGGAACTGCGAATGCACGACAACACCTGTCCCCTCACAAGACCCTTCATTTCAAGTTTCAACCTTTGCTGTAGTTTGTTTGTGATCTGCTCCTGGCAGTGATTGCTATCATTTAAAAAAATAAATAAATAAATAAAAAATCCTTTTTTTTTTGAAAGCGGGTAGTGCGGAACGTTGTTGTATCTTCTTTGTGATTTACGCTCAGCGTTCGAACGCTGAGCGTAAAAAAAAATCACAAAGAAGAAGATACAATAAAGGTTCCGGGCTCCCCCCCCCCCCCCCCCCCCCCCCCGAAGAAAACGTGCACTCGCTCTCGCTCTATCTCGACTGAGAGTTGCCCTCAATACAGCTATTCTGACTGTTTACGTTCCGGTTGTGGGTAAAGACGACTGGAGGTGTGATGTGTTGCTCTTTTTATGCCTGGTACGTCAACAATCCAAATGCAAGGGCGGATGGAACCATTTAATTTGTGTGATTCCTGGTTAAATATCTTGTTGTGTTAAATAAATTAAATTTTGTTTGATGATTGTGATCGATGGCCGGGTAGGCATGATCGTGGTGCTTCGCGGACACGAACCGATGCCTTTTTTTTGTTTCCCGAAACCCACTCATTATGATGAGATGGGGAGCGAGTTCCGGTTTCAGTTCCGGTTCTGGTTCTGGTTCTGGTCCCGGTTTTGGTTGGGATTCAGGTTCGGGTTCCGGTTCCGGTTCCGGTTCCAGTTGGGGTTCCGGTTCTGGTTCTGGTTCCAGTTTAGGGTTTAGGGTTGGGGTTCCGGTTTATGCTAGCATGCGATAGTAATGCCAAGTAGTACCTTGTCCTATAGCTGTCATATAGTCCTTTTTTTTGGTCCCTTTTTTTGGGTCCCTTTTTTTGAGTCCCTTTCTTTTGTTCCCTTTTTTTTGTTCCCTTTTTTTTGGTCCCTTTTTTTTTTGTCCCTTTTTTTCGGGTCCTTTTTTTTCGGGTCCCTTTTTTTTGGTCCCTTTTTTTTGGGTCCCTTTTTTTTGGGTCACTTTTTTTGGGTCCGTTTTCTTAGCTGTCATATAGTTCCAGCACCTTCCAAGTTTTGGACTCTGAAAATTTTTGAACGAAAAAAGTTGAATTAAAAATGTTGAATGAGAAAATTTGAATTTTGAAATTTGAATTAAAAAAAAAAGTTCAATGCTTTGTATGGTGCTAGGAAGACGCAGCATTGTATCGATTCTTACTGCCTACTGTCTTCCCCCGAAAAGAACGCTACATCCTGAATATGGATGTATAATGGTATATATACATTGTTATGCACGCTATTATTCCGGTCGGAAACGGCCATTATAACTTATAAGGGTGCGTTGTGTTCGGGGGAAGGTGGGGTAGTCTTTATTTTCCAGTGTTGTCGAGTGAGCGAGAGGTTTAAGAGTTTGTCCTTTGGGACATCCGTTAAATTTGGAACGATACAAAGAATGAAGATTGGCATGACCCCTGCACAAGGATGGGCATTGGATATGCATAACTCGAGAAATGGTCCAAAAAAAACAAAAAAGAAAGAAAGAAAGAAAGAAAGAAAGAAGGTTTAAGAGTCTGTAGACTCCGTTCCGAACAGTGCTCTTTGTCTGTTGCCACAACTTTGACAGTGGGTGGATGAATGGCCTATGAACTTACGAAGTGAACTTATGAAGTGAAGTGATTTTGACTCCTTCTGTCTCTCTCATTCTTGCAGACGTGGGTAGCCCGTCGTTGGCGATGCACATGTGAATGGATGAGAGTGCACCGCAGGGCGAGGTCTATAGTGTGTGCTCCGTGCGACGACAGCAGGAGGAGGCGATCCGCATAGCAGCGCATCTCCGACCCGGAGGGTGTTTAGCTTATGATGACAAAGGCAAAGCGATGTCTGCTTTCACAGACATCCTGACAGCAGGACAAGGAGGAAGAGGAGGAAGAGGAGGAGGAGGAGGAGGAGGAGGAGGAGGAGGAGGAGGAGGAGAGTGTGAAGGTCGGAGAGCTCGATGGACACAAGTGGGCGAGAGAGAAGGTGGTGGGGGGGGGTGCTACCGTGTCAAAGCAGGATGTGCTGAGGTTGACGTGCAGTTCAAGAGGACTACGTACCGGGCTCCCGTCCGAATGCTACACACCCTGGTTTTGAATGTATATACGCTCTCTTCCCGGTCCAGTACGGTCATGACGAGGGTGCACATTGTGTTCGGGGGAAAACTGTTTGTATTTGTAGCTGCATATTCCGCAATGTTTCACATGCAATCCGACAGCGGAAAGAGCCGAGAGCGCAAAGGTTGGGATGCCTGAGAATGATCTGTGTGGCGCCTTGCCAAAGCTTGGCTGCATGGAGTTTGACGTGCAGCTCAGCGGACACGTTCAGTTTGTGCAGCTGCAATGTTGCCTTCTCAACCTTGGGCAGAGAGAGAGAGAGAGAGAGAGAGAGAGAGAGAGTAGCTTAGGGTATGACATGCCAGGCAAGGCCTCTCACAGAATATGCCATTTGCAGTTTTCAAATGAGATTTTTAGAAACGTTTTTCTTTCTTTCGTTCTTTCTGAAAGTCAAAACCCTAAGCAGCTTTACATTTTTTTTTCAAGTTTTTTGTGTTTCGTAACTGTTTTTTTTTAACTTTTAAGATCATTGGAAGTGGATTTAACAAGATCGAAGATTTTCAATTTGCAAAAAAGAATTGATTGCTGCGGCGAACTAGTAGATGCTGGGAGGTGTGTAGAGTTGAATCTCGTAATTTTCCGTGGTGCGGAATTTACGGAAATTTTCAGACTGAAATTTCCTCGGAGAACTTTGGTGGCACTCGACTGTGCAGTGGAAGAGAACTTTGGCGTTGGAAATTTACGGAACGGAACTTTTGGCGTTTTCAATCTATATATGTTCCATTAAGAGATTTTTATGTGCGAGACGAGGAGACGTTGAGCACTTAGTCGCAATTTCTCGCAAACTTGCACAAGCGATTTCTGAATGGCACGGCATCGTCAGGATGTATACGAGTGTTACGAAGTCGACCAATCGTTAATATTATTTGTTATGAACGGTCTTTTTTTAAGTTTTTTTGTTTCCGATTTTTTTTATAGAGAATTTTGCATGTTTTGGAATTTGGAATTTGAAATTTGAAATTTGAAATTTGAAATTTGAAATTTGAAATTTGGAGTGGATATCGGGGAGCTCAGAATCTGTTGGAGAGAAAGATAGGTTGTCTTTTTTTTTTTTTTTTTTTTTTTTTTTTTAAGTCGCCACTACCTCTGAGGCTCTTTTTGCCAAGGCGGGAAAGAACTGCGCACCATGTTTTGTCGAACCGCGTGCAGGACTTTTTTTTGGGGGGGGGCGCCTGCCATTTGGTCCGGTGGCGCCCGGCCGGTGAAGAATGTGGTATAGGTTATATTTTCGTTTTCCCCTTGCCTGCGAAAGGTAGTGGTGGTTTTGACAATTTCTTTGCGCAAATAAGTTTTTTTTTTTGCGGCGCAACGCGATGTCGCATCTTGCCGCATCAGAGCTAGGGAGTTGGGACCAAATAAATTTGAGGATTCACCGCGGCGGCTGAGCTGCCTGCATTGCCAAAGAAGGGAAAAAAAAAACAGGAATGCCAGTGGTTATAACTTATAAGCGAGAGCCGGAGCCTCAGGGGCAAAGTGACTTCATCCCTCTACAAGATAAGAGATGGATTGGATGCAGCGGCATTGCAGCCACATGATCGTGCTCTGTGAGGAGTGGCAGTGATTTCAGGGTGGAGTTGCTGGCCCACAGGGAAGGAGGAGTTACTGTAGCGAATGAACTTGCGTTACCTGGGTTTACTCTGCCGGTTATATTTGCCGGATGGGAATGGCGGTGGGGGTTCGAACCACTATCGCATTTCAATGCAGGCCTGGTGAGCGAAGGGGCTCTCCCACATCTGCAAGAGGAGTGCAATTGATTTCAGTGGGGGAGCTGGCCACAGGTGAAGGAGGAGGAGCGAACGAGCTTCAATTTACCTGGGTTTACGGAGCCGGTTATATTTGCCTGATGGGAATGACGACGGGGGGTTAAAGTTTAAAGTTTAAACCACAATCGCATTTTACCGCGGGCGTGGTTAGCAAACGGCTGGCCACAGGAAAGGAGGAGTTACTGTAGCGAATGAACTTTAGTTAACTGGGTTTACTGTGCCGGTTATATTCGCCTGATGGGAATGACGGCGGGGGGTTAAAGTTTAAACCACAATCGTACTTTACCGCGGGTGTGGTTAGCAAACGGCTGGCCACAGGGAAGGAAGAGGAGCGAACAAGCTTCAATTACCTGGGTTTACGGAGCCGGTTATATTCGCCTGATGGGAATGACGGTGGGGGGTTAAACCACAATCGTAGGTAGCAAACGGCTGGCCACGGGGAATGAGGAGTTACTGTAGCGAATGTAACTTCAGTTAAGTGGGTTTACTCTGCTGGTTATATTCGCCTGATGGGAATGACAGTGGGGGGTTAAAGTTTAAAGTTTAAACCACAATCGTACTTTACCGCGGGCGTGGTTAGCAAACAGCTGGCCACTGGGAAGGAGGAGTTACTGTAGCGAATGAACTTCAGTTAAGTGGGTTTACTGTGCCGGTTATATTCGCCTGATGGGAATGACGGTGTGGGGATAAAGTTTAAAGTTTGAAGTTTAAACCACAATTGTGGGCGGTTAGCAAACGGCTGATCCAGTCGTTCAGTTTTGTAACTTCCGTTCCTCCGGATGGCCAATCCAGGAGTAACTGTTGCAATTTTCAAGTTCTGGCCCGTCCGCGGGGACAGGTTGACGTCCAGAGAGGGGTCTTGAAATAGTGGCGTGGCGATTTAAGTGGGTGCTTAGTTGGGCCCTATGTGGGAAGGGAAGCTCATCTATGGGTGTGATGCAGCGAATGTAGTAAATACTAAAAAGTGCTCATTGGCGCCACCTTTGGGGATTTTTTTTTGGCTTTGATCAGCATGAGTGGGTGTGCTTAAGCTGCGCCGGGGGTTGTTGAGCAGCAGCAGCTTATTGGCTCTTCTGTGCGTAGGCAAGCTGCGTACAGATTGAGTGGGTGGTTCCCATGAGATGGTCAGCGAGCATTTGTCGGGGTGCACAGGTGAAGCCTTGAAAAACAGATTTCAAAATTTCGGGTTGGTGACTTTGTATTCCAGTCGATGGCACGAGTGTCTTTGAACAGGATCTGTTCTGTTACGTCTGTACGTTGTACGCTTTCCTGTCCAGGTACTTTTCTGTAGCTAGTAGCTACGAGTTCAGATGACTTGTCAGACCTGGAAGATGAGTGGAGACTTCCACCCTAGAGTGTGAATGCTTGGTGGCGGAGAATTAGGCCTTTGACAAGTTTGACTACGAGCGGTGAACACGTTCCTCAGCCTTGGAGAATATAAAAAAAAGTTAAAAAAACAATTTGTATTGATGGCTGCAGTAGAAAGAAGAGGTTTTGATAACTTCGGTTAGTAAGCCCTCAAAAAAAAAAAAAAAAAAAAAAGGTTAGTAAGACCTCCATGAGAGAAGGCCTGTCCTTTTTTTTTTTCCTTCTTCTTTTTAATTGAAGGTCACTCTTGCAGTATAACAAAGGCTGGTGCATTATTGTTGCGGGGTCCAGGCTTGAAGAATCTCTGGGCAATAAACGCGCCCCTCCTCTTCTCCCAATCCCACCACCTCCCTTCGCTTTGCCCCACTTCCACCCCGGTTTAAGGACCTCCTACTTTCTCTCTCTCTCTCTCTCTCTCTCTCTCTCTCTCTCTCTCTCTCTCTCTCTCTCTCTCTCTCTCTCTCTCCATCCGTCCGTCCGTCGGTCTGTCCTTCCGTCCATTTCTCTCTCTCTCTCTCTCTCTCTCACACACACACACACACACACACACAGACACACACACACACACACACACACACAGCATTGTGTGTAATTGGGTTGCAGGAGCAGGAGATAACTGTGCACGAGGTTTTTGGATGACGCTAGTGCACAACAGCCTGTTCCCTGTGTCCTTTTTTTTCCAAATTAAGCAAAAGAATGTCTGCCCATTTATGTGGTACAACAGGACAACTGTTTTGTTTTGTTCTTGCAAATCCAATGCTAGAGTCACAATGTGTCAATATTACTCGATCATCAGGACATACTCACACTAGGACCTTTTACTTTTTCCGGCCGTGATTGCGGTCAGATACATGCAAGTAGGGCCATGAATATGGTCAGATACATTCAAGATTATTCTGCTCACGTGAGTACTATGCTCTCAGAAGCCTGTGACTAACTGTCCTTGCAGAGGATAGGTATTTTTGTGGGCAGTTTCTGAAATTCCTGGTTTGTTGATATTGAATTTTGGGGGTGGGGGGAGGGGCTGTCTCTTATACACATC